GGATATACAGCTCTACGATAATAAAGTCTAAACAGCCACAAATAATATTACGCAATACTCGTCATCGGCAACCCACAGACTATTTATTTTATTTAGTGAAGTGAAATATGACAAATACAACAGCAGGCAAGCACAATTAATGTAAGTACAACACACAAAAATCAATATTCGACGTCAATCACAAAAAAAATTCATCGTGGAGATAACAATACAACATAGGAGGTAGGTATACAGCTCTTGATATTGGTAAGAATATTTGATATTACGCATTTATTTTATGCATACATAAATCAAAAATAAAAGAAAAGTAACGAAATTAAACAAATAAATTTAAATTGACTTTATTTTGTACATACAGTTATTATTATTTTCATAACTATACCTTACGATGGGTTCTACTTGTTAAACTTACCTATTTAAATACCTTTTTGTATTTTAATTATTTTGAATAAATATGACTTACGTATAGTGTTACACTATTAGGTAGACGTATATAAATAAAATAAATATCATATGAAATAGCTGGTAGGTGCCTAGCCAAAATACTAACTTAAATTAGTAGACGCTATGTGAACAACTATATAAAAAAAATTATAGATAATTTTTTTTCATTATAAACATAATACCTTATATAGATTTTAGTAAATGATATATTACATGAGGTAAAAGTATGAATGCAATACGATATCAAAAATGCACAATGTGAATTTGTCAAGTAAACTCATTACAATGGCTGCCAATATATACTTCTAATAATATACACTTGTCAATCTATGTACATTTATATTCGGTTCAAGATCACTATGCAAGAATACTGTGTATACTTTACTATTGCGTATTATTTTCAATATTCTCGAACTAAATATAATTCAGACAAGTGAGTAGGTAGTTAGATTATGCTTAGGTATACGTACTACGTAAGTAGGTAGGTACTTCAATAATGGGCATGAAATTTATGATTATGAATAAATAGCCAGATAGGTATATATAATATATAATAACATCTATAATAGTGATAATACCATTACTAAATGCACATAATTATTTTATAATATTTGAATATTTCATTAATTGATCAACGTGTAAATATGAAAATAACTATTTATTTCTACAAGACCTTTGGAGGATTAGCTCGGTTGCTCGGTAGATACTTTTGGTGTCAGTATAAATAAACATCACCGTCTATTATATTAATTTGAAACTTTTACACAATTCCACGTCAATAGTCGTTATAGTCAATATAATAATTCAAAATATAATTTAATTATAACTAAAATGTTGTTTAAAATGAAAGCGTAGCTAATATTGTTCCGTCGCCGCTAAGTATTACATGACGCTCCCACGCCACACACCATCGGTGGTGGTTAACATTAAGAATATTAAGAAGAATATTATTATAATAATAAATATAAATTATTATATTTTATCTACATAATTATAATAATAATATTTCTGTATTGGTACAAGTTAATATTGAGTACTATACTGGATACTATACTATTGAGATATACTCGTAAATTGGATTAACAGACACTTATGTAAGATGACAATTTATTGTTAATAATAATAAAAAGAAAATGACAATACGCAAATAGACCTAAGTGCTATTATATAAATACTTATGCAATGAAAAAACTCATGAAACCGTGGTAAGGACTTTAGGAGGATGGATAGTAACAACTGGCCCTACAATTTCACTGTGAAACCTTTGATACTTGACAGTGTATAATGACGATAATAAATGTAATTATATAATTTGTAATATGAAGGCACAATGTGTACTATAAGTCTATAACAAATCATGAAACCACAATAGAGGAAAAAATTGGAAAAAATGGTATCTGTGACCGTGAATCAGTAGGGTAATATACTAATATGCCAATTCTAATACTCAAATTCGCATTCTATAGTTGAGTAATCATAATGTACCAGGTACCTAGGTTATAATTTATACAACTGATTTTCATTGACTGACCTTAGGACACCGGCCAGCTCACCAATATAATATGATAAATATTAATAATAATGGCAGAAAGTATTTAGAGTATTTATGAAACCAAAATAATTCTAACAAGTACAATATTGTGAATATATTTTCAATTATTCATATTTATTACTTTTATACTTTTATATGTAACTACATTTATATTCAAACAATTTTCAAAAATTTAAGACCATTAATTTTAATGACACTCAAAAATCAGAATAAAGCAAAATTACCTACATAGGTAAGCGAATAAATAGTATCGCGTCAATATCCTCTAATATCCTCTAAGCTTGGAAAAATCAAACATGGAAAAAAGTACCTACATATAGGTTGTATTAATATATTATGACCTAGATGTGCTCACAAAAAGTTATGACCGCATAATTTTATCCATAAATGAACGTGTTTCTTAGAATTAATTGTTGTAACTACGTATCCATTATAAGTGAACCTTAATTTTGAACATAATATAGAACCCATAACAAATTACCACAACAACGATCAAATCGATCAATATAATACACGAATAAAAAAATTACCTGATAATAATAATAGTACTTAAATACCATTTCTATCAAGTAAAGGAGTCGAGGATTTATAGCACTTTTAAGAAAATAACAATGTGAAATGGTTTCAGCTAGGTTAATGTATTTTATACTGCACACAATACAAAAATCAATGTCTCAAAAATAAAATAGCAAAACTGGTGAAGTCATTCAGTTGTATAGTATAGGCCACAACTTACGAGTGTACCTACCTCGTCATTGAGTAGGTCACTGGATGTGTTAAATTTGAATTCAATGATAAATAGAATCGAAAATTGAATCTTAACAAGGACGGTGTCAGACTCTATTTTTGAGAATATTTTACAATTTATTTATTTTACTATTAGGCATTAGACATTAGTAATACGATAGGTTAAACTAATATTGTTGTCAATAATATTGAATACCTACCTACTTATATAACTATATTATTGTTATTAACTTTTTATAAGTAAATACCAACGTATACCTCTTATGGAACACTGTGAAAAGTTAATCATATGAATGGCTTTAAAATAGTCTTAACATTAAAAAATTTAATTTTGTTTTGAAAATAATTACATACGGGGACGTAATAATGGAGAATAGTTTCAACTGTTTCAAGTCTTTATGATTAATATTTTTTGAATTATAATCGTAACAAAATAACTAAAAAATTTTCATCAAAAAATATAGTTATTTTTCATTTAAAATTTAAATAGGTATCGTATTTTGTTAGGTTTTCTGGATTATTTTGAAAAGTTTTGCTTTATTCTTGCATTGATCACCAAATTAACAGCATAATATGATAATTGACATTCATAATTTTTTTTTTTTAATACATTCACTGCTCCCATCAGAATCTAAAATACATATTATGTAATATTGTAATAATAATTAATAACTAATAATCAACCTGACAATCAAGCGCAAAATTATTATTATCAAATCTGTAGCGATGAGTGGGTAGTATGGCCCGGCAACGGTCGACGGTCGAGAGAAGACTCACTTACACGGGCCATACGCGGCCACGCAGTGTATCCTCAGTCCCGGATATTCTAGTATACTACTACTGACAATTTATTACGATAACATATTACTATAATACAAATATATACATTTATAAATAGATGCTTTGCAAGTCTGTACACAGTGCACACAGTAGTTCTCGAACTGGGATTTAGGCCATTATCAATTGTTTATCAAATAAGGAGAAAAAACACTAATTTATTTTTAAGAACAATTCTCAGGTACATAGAGCTCTTTCCACCCAAAAAGCTTCTGACCCCCCTTTCCCAAAAAAAAAAAATATATTTATATATATATATATATCCATTACAAATTATATTGATACGTGTTAATTGATATTTTTAGCCTCCTAGTCTTTTAACCATATTTACCCCACTGGTCATGTGCTCAATTTACATGTGTTTTTCATGAATCATGGTTCGTATAAATTCATCGTTTCTTAACATTTGCAAGTAACGCTATTTCGTGTCAATTAATGATTCATGATTCGTATTTTTTAGTTCATAAAGATTCATATACACCTTTCAGCAGAACAACCGCAAAAATATATTAACTTTTTGCAGCTCACATAAAAGGTACACATCTTGACCACGAGCTGTTCAAATGCAATTAAATTTATACATGCCAAAATATATATTCAGAAAATATGGTTGAAGTCACGGTCACCATTGAAATTTGTTTAACTATTGCTAAGTGCTGAACTGAAAAAAATATGTAACATAGAATTAGGTGGATTTAATACCTGTCATTATTTAAAAATCTGTAGGTTATTTGACCTAGCTAAAATTTATTATTGACGTACATAGATAAAAAACTAAAAATATTTTTAGTTTAAATTTATTCGTTTACCTTTTTCCTCAATTTTTTTGTTTTTCCCGATTATTTTGAAAATTACCTACAGGGATTTTTGTACTTTTGACACCCCCCCCCCCCTCCCAAGTACCAACTAGATCCAATTTTCTACCAAAATCCACTCTATCAGTTATAAATTAAAGCATTTTTACTGCTCCAAAAGGTTATGAGAAGGTTATGAGAAGAACAAAAAAAAATAACATAATTGTCAAATTATACATTTTTATTGCTTCGCTCCTTCGCTACTTCACAAGGGGTTCGTTTATTCTTTAGAATTATTTTTTAAACTTTTAAATGCATCCTTACATGCCCCACAATATGTTAGGTTAACTCATGTTGTGATTTAATTTCCAATTTCTCATACTTGTAGGAGTACAATTGACTAAAATGTTGTTCGGTAGTAATCGATATTTATAATAGACGGTAGGTACCTATGTATACAAATATGAAATGTTATTATTATGACAACAAAAGGATTTTTAAGTGTGGAACAAGTAAGTACTGCCTGTTGAGTGGGTCCGTTACAATCGCTATAAAATAGGTAGGTATATTAATATAACACATTTCATATTTTTGATTATTAAGAGTAGTTATGTCAGCGCACTATTTGTTATCTCTCTTTGACCCACTCATAACATGCCAACATAACAAATTTGCGTTCAGCAGAACCAATCTTGTGTTGTTAGCTCTATTATTAGAGTGGATTGACCTATTATCAAACTTAAAGTTAGTATAACATTATCTGTGTTCATACGTTGGCTGTTTTATAATATTTCAATTTTTATGTAGTACCTGGGTACAATATTGCACGAGGGTCAGAAAGAAAAAACAAACAGTGTGCTAGCTGGCGTTTGATTGAATGTTGAGTTAAAAACGTAGAGCAATGAATGAATTACTAGTAAGTGATGAAAATAATCGACTTGACATTTTTCTCATCATGTCTTTCGCATAGTTAAACAATTTATAACTAATGAGTGATTTTTTCTTAAATTGAGCATTCGATTATTGAAATTAATGTTGTATTACTTTTATATAATCATAACAACAATGATACATCATTTATACAAAAATATACATTAAAACTACTTTTAGGGAACTTAAACACTCTTAATGAGTTTTATTCACTACATTTTAAATTCTAAGCAAAGTGTATTGATTTTATAATGATGTACATTGTAATTTGTAAGATAGATATAAAGTAGAAAAAACTGGGTAAGTGGATGTCACTCTGCTGTACCTACAGGCTACAGTAGGTTACAAGTGGGTAACTGTAATAGATGGTGTTAAATTTGAATTCAATGATATAAAATCATTGTACACAAAAAACGATTCTGACAGTCAGCCTATTATATAATATATTACTTGAGATATTTTATAATATTATTGTGATTAATGTAATTTATTTTACTATTACCCATTAGGCATTAGTACTACAGTAGGTTAAATTCATTATGTGTATAAAATATAATAATATACCTACCTACTCTAGTACTCTTAACAGTTTCAAGTTTCCCAAGAACAATATTTTTAAATTACAACAAAATAACTAGCATTGTTATTCTTAGATTTAATATGTTTAATAGTTTGAACTTAGAAGAACTATAAAAAATAACTCGGTCTATATATTTTTGGGATTTTTTGTTTACAGTATTAACTACTTGTGCGTAACCTTGTCTTAAATTTTCAATCCTTAATTGAAAAATTGGAACATTTTATAAATATTTAACTACAAAATAGCTTGTAAATTTTGTCAAAATTTGAGCTTTAAATGCTTATAAAACAAAATCGTGCCTATGCATTTTTAAAATTTTTCAATTACTGTTGTAACAATATATTAGGCAAGTATTCAATTTTCAATTTTTTTGACCCAACAAATAAAATATTTTGACATTTATAGAAAAAAATCTAAAAAAATTGAAAAACGTCCGTAAACAACTCAAAACAAATCAAAATATTTTGAAAATAGTATGGTGTATAAAAAATAACAATTTATACATTCAATGAAAAATGTATATATCTACGGTGATTTTTTTTAAGTTACACCAAAAACCAAAGTCGAATTTGTCAAAACCCAATTTTGGTAAAAATTCTAGTTTTTCCTTACTTTTTTTTCCCCTAGTGCTTTTAAAAATGGCTGAGAATTTTTAATTTGGATTTGGGACTCTAAACTAGTTTTCAATTAAATCTATTTTCTCATTTTGTTGTAGGTAATTCAAAAACAAATAACTGTAGTTACGTACTAGAAATTTTTACCAAATATTAAAATTTCCTATAACATTACAATTTTAAAAATATTTTGAAACCTTATAAGTTATTTAAAGACAAGCAACAATTTTTTTTATTTTTTTTTTTATTATTTATGATCACAAAAAAATGTTTAAATAATAATATGCAATCATATCGAATCATTGTTAAAATAATAAATAAATTATATTATGTTCAAAAAAACCGATGGAGTGTGGGTGTTTTTAGGATTAGAGAGTAGGTATTATGATGTAGATGTTCTATTTTTAATACCTATTAATGCGAAATGTTTACTGTTCAGAGAATTCCTATCAAGTCTGAATATACGAAAATCGCCAAAAACCAAGTTCAGAACTAAGTATATTAAGGGAATAGGAGATAGCCTTGTTTCAATAAGGATAACAATGTCGCATGGAAGAAATAAATAAAGAAAGCTTCTAAGATTAATCAGTTAAGTAAAGTAAGGCAAAACATATTTTGATAAAATAGGTTTGTATGTTTAAATTTAAATTTTGTTACAAAAGTTATGATTAACATTAGGTGGCACAAGAGGGATTGATGGCTCAAAAAACAGGGTTGAACGGTTATTGACAAATATAAAAAGTACTAGAAGTAGAGATGCAGATGAATTTAAAGAAGTATGTTGAAGGTCCTTAGCGATGAATGGACAATGGACATACCAAATCTGATAGGAGTTTAACATTGTCAGCCACAGCCACCCTGTCAACAAGTAAGATTGCAATATATTTCAAAAGCCTATGAACAATGGCATTAAATTAACATTTTTCACTACCAGACATTTTCTGTAATAGCTATGGTAATTGATCAATAGTGGAGGTGGATGTTATTGCTAATGTACTGTATTTTTTTATTATCATAACAATTTTAAATTAAATAAAGTACAAGACTTGCATAATTTGACTTGCTTTAAGATTGATTTAAAGCTACAGAAGCATAAGTATCGACTTTCTTTAATTCTTTACAGAAACTATTTTATCTACATTGATCAATCATGGCTTATGAAAACATATTAAGAGGTAGATTGTAAGCACCTAATTCTATTGATTAATTAATAATGTTAACAACAAAATCATTTAACATTGTATTAAATAGTAAACAAAAAACCATATAAATGTTAAGATCCCTACATAGGTACCATAAGATAAAGTTACTAATAATAATTTAAGCTTTTAAAAACTGAACTTACACAATGTATTAAGATGAATTGTTTAGGCCTATGAGGTTTAAAAATTGTGTATGAAATATTAATAATACAATATGCATATAGTGTCTAATGAGTGTTGTTAAATGTCAAATCACTAAAAAACTTGTTTATGAAAGTACTTTGGATTATGGGTATTGCAATGTCCTTATTTTGATGAAGTGATAATTAATTTTATAGATTTCAAGTACTCTCCTTTGATTAAAAACAAAATATAAGGTAAATAAATACACTAAATGCACTATGGGTTTGATAACATAAATAAAAAGTATATAATATAATATAGGTAACAACAATATAATATAAAAGTAAAAATAATTAATGTAGGTAGGTCTTTATTTTATAGAATTAAAAAAAATAATAAAAACAAATAATACAAAATACAACATAGGTAAGTATTTATTATTGAAAACAGATGGCAATTTAGTTACGTCCAGATAAAGACAATATTTGGAAAACAGAGTTATTGGCATGTCAAAGAGTTACTGGGATATCTTTGTTTTGAAAGGTTGTAGGTGGGTTAGAAATCATTTTTTAGTGGTTAAAAATGATAACAAATGATATTACATTTTTTCACTAGGTTTCAGTAATCTGAAAGTCAAACTTTTATAATAGCGCAATGATTAAGGTGATCACAGTACCGCCAGGCAAACATTTAGTAAGTGGTGGTGCCAAGGTAGCTCACCTAACAAATAAGAAACCCATTCATAATGATAAACACCTTTAACAGAAAAACTACGGCAATATAATTGCAAATAACTAAATGTGTACAAATAATCCAATTACTACCGGCTAAAAAGGTTGACTTGGTATTTTATAGTTAAGTTCATTACCAATCATGGATATTTTAGTTTTTAAAACTATGAAAAGTTTTATTCATCCTAGAGGTTTGTAAAATAAAAAAACCCAGATTGCAGACACTATACAGACTACTTTATTGATTTTGTTTGACATATTATTTATATTTAATATTTATAAAGAATATTATTCCTAATAATAATAATTAACACAGATATGACACTTTGGCCTTTTTAAACATTTTTTTTTCTACGTCTGAAAACTAACAATATTGTTGTTAAAAAAGTTTTAAATTTAATTTAAGTATTTCAAAAAAACATGAGTTTAAATTAAATTGTATTTTACTGGTAAAGTTACAAACCAAAAGAGACACCAAAACATTCAAAATATATCTTATAATATAGTAATGAAGCCAATGAGAATATAATATAAACTCATCAATAATAGTTATCCAATGATTTGACAAAAGGTATATTGACTAATAAGGGTACATAAATATATGTATATACTTTTAATTGGAATTTTTATAGGGAATATTGTATAAGTATCTTAAATTTATTTTAATAGTATGTTATATAATAGTATATAAATGTATGTATGTAAAAAAATTTCCACAATAAGTATGTATAACAAAAATATTAAAGTCAGGAACATAAAAGCACTTACAACTATTTGGTTGCCATTTATTCTTCTTCTTCTAACAATACGAAAAAAAACTTTTCGGTTTTCAAACAGATTATCATAGAATAAACATTTTAATTTTACAATGTTTTTACAATTATTTTTCAGGACATTTTATATCTACTACTGTTTTCACTTTGGTGTCATTGTTTCTCCCCTCTACCATCTGTATCATAATATGACAACCTGAAAATAATTCTTTAACTCAATCTACAAATATGTGGATATCAATTTAAGTTAGACACTATTTTTTTCTTACATAATATATTTATCAAGACTGCCAAAAGACTGGGGTAAATTATTACCGAATACTTAGTAGATATAAAATATCCCAAAAAAAGGTAAATATATAATATGTTATATGTATATATATTTGGTTACTTCATGTAACTATATTGCCTTACTTTTTAAACAAATGATAAATACAAACAATCATTGCACATAATGGTTTCAAATTGACTTACTTTAAGCAAAGTTAACATTTCTTTTATTACATATATATTCCAATATTAACACAGAGTATTTCTAACACAAAATTCTCCAAATCTAAACCTTTTTTTGTCAGTATTTATTTTCATTAGCTGAACAACAAAAGTGAACCAAAGTTATTATTTGTATAACATAAATACAAATCAGTATGTAAGAAAAGATATGTGAGCCCCACTTAATAATATTCAAGTATAAACTGATATAATACTAAGTCTAAAATTATCATTATTATATTATTGGCACATAAACATTATCTCCAAATATTGTGTGCATTTAGTTGTACATAAAATAATAAATTATAAATGTGTTATGTGTGTGTGTAATGGATAAATATGAATGTTATAATTTACATTTTATAAATTATTAAAAACTAACACGTCCTTATTAACTAATTATAATATAAAAATGGTTTTGTGTCACAAATGCGGAAATAATAATAATATCACCTCGTCATAATAACAAATACTTACATTGTATATTTAAAGATACAAAAAAAAATTGCGAATAAAGTCAGCCAAATGGTTTTTATACCCACGAATCACCACCTTGGGCGGTAGAGACATCAACAGATGATACTTTTGGTTGCGCTTGTTCATTATAATTCCACATTTCACCCATTGAACACGATGGGTCATATTGTTTATTCTTCTTTTTTTCTCGGTTAACTTGAGCATAAAGTGGTTCACCTGGTCTTAATGGCTAAAAAAAAATATATAAAATTGAACAAAAATCCTTGTGATATTGAGAATTTTATGAGAATTTTAGGCAACTACCAATTAGTATTTATATTTATAGTATTTTGCATAGTTTAAAACTACATTTCTACACTTAAGACCTAAATTGAGCAAACGTCTAATAAAGAATTCAAAATAGTAAATCATATTTTTTTTTGGACACCCTAAAACATTTTAAATAAAAAATATTAATGAATAAACAATTAATTTCTACATTTAATTAATACTCATTTTCAGTTTTTTTTTTAACTAAACAAAATATTTATAGGTAAGCAAATAAGCTAACATGGAAAACAAAATATGATTGACAATATTTCAAACTTTAATAATTATAAAAACTAATAGCATTTTATATTACAAATATCTACTTGAATGAAGTATATTTCTTGAAAATGTAGTGTCTTAATAAAATATACCAAATTCAATAAGAGTTTGAATATAACTTGAACACAATCAATGTTAACTAGTTAAGGAGTTGATGTTAATGTTAAGGAGTCCTTATCACTTGAGCCCCCATGTTAACACGTTGAAAATCAAATCAATGCACCTAGTTAAATACTTAAATCTTCAATATTAAAACTTCTTTAATTAATAATTTATTTACTATCATAAATTTAAATAATAAATAAATTAAATCTAGAATGAATAATTAAAATAAAAATGTAAGTATAAAATATATTCACTGAACTATCCATTTTACTATTATGAGGTTTATAATTGACAATTATGAATGATTTAACTACAAATAGAACTACCAAAAATAATTGATAGTTGATTCTTTCACGTTATGCATAATTTTAAAATTCAATAACTATACCTGAATATGACTAAAGTTAACAATATTGTATTGTATTATAGAGATAAATTGAAATGATATTACTTATAAATTATTAAACACAATTAGATTTTTATTAGATAAACTTAATTAAAAATATAGGTGTATTTCTTAATCATTGTTCTATCACTTCTATTAATTGATACTATCAAAATATGCATAGGTTACATAATATGAGCAGAAATTAGGTGCGTCAAATAAATTAATAATCTAACTAAATAAACTACTTGTTGTGTAACTTTGAATATTACATATAAAATGTGAAAACAATACTGATGAATTACCAACACACAATCTACTCACATGTCCAGGAGGATATATTAATACTCCACCAGCTGGAGGGGTATGATTAGACACTTCGGGATATGGCATATCAGCTAATGGAATATCTTCATTCTGAAAATATCAAGTACATAAATAAAATAAAGAACTAACCGAAATAATAAGACTTTTTAATTCAAATATTATGAAATCTGTTTATTTAATAATATAACTAAATGTACACACTACTATAATATATTTTAAATGAGAAAATAATTATTATTAATTATATAAATTATATATTTAAAGGTGAATATTGTAAATGTTTTATGAAATGAGAATTTTAATATATTTTTTTCTCATAAAATTAACTTCAATGCCCAAATAAATAAAATGATGGAAGCATGCTATCATTGCATTTGATGTCTCTGTCTAACACACACCAAATTTACATTATGCATATTGTCTAGTACTTTTATTAATACAATTAACCCATTACCAAACATAAAGCTTTATTCAACATTTTAATTTTTAAGTTAATAATAATTTTTTTTTTTAAATAATTTATTTTATCTACTATATCTCATTTTTAAGTTTTGAAAAAAACTGACAAGAGAGCATAGAAAATGTCATCTTTTAGTTTATATATTAAGAATAACAATGCTGTATTTAAAATTAGAATATAAAAATTAGCATGTTATGTAAAAGAAAACAAATAACAAATGCATGGGTAGTGTCTTTTGAAGTAAAACCTAATAAGTAGTTGAAACAATGGTAATGGAATAAAACTGCATAACATTATTAAAAGTATAAAAATTAACATGAAATTTGTTTTTTATTATTATTAGATTTTGAAAAAACAATTGGTCTCGATAATTAATAAATTTATAAAATTAAAATAAATAATACTTATTTGAATTACAGCAAAATAACATATTTTTACAATTAGTTGTCATACATTTTTAGTTACTAACATTAACATCATAGCATAGAAGTTGTGAAATGAGATTTACAATATTCACTGGATAATATGATTTATTTATAATATTCAATTTATTATTAATTATCATTTAAAGTTACATGAAAATATATAAAGGTAAATTTAATAAATTTAATACACACCAGTTATCTGAAATCATTGTAACATAGGTGTATGAATAAGATCATCATCAAAAACCATTGTATACTAAGTTTAATTTTTAATGTAAAATTATTTACGATTAAAATCAAAAAAAAAAAACTATCGATAAAATCACCTTCTACTAGCGATTTTGACACATACAATACTTTAATATTCAAAGAGTAAAATTTAAAATATACTTAAAAAACAAAGTATTCTTATTTATAAAAATATTAGATTCATCCACAATGTGTTACAGAAGTGACAAGGTTGCATAGATTGCTAATCCTCACCAGTCTTGTAACTAACAATTTGGGTGACTCTGTATATTCACAATATTTGTCATCTTTTAACTTACAGCCTGATAAGTAGAATTTGTGTTAGAGTTTGATAGTGAATGATTCA